TTTTGTGAGACCACACCATATAAGTGGGAAATTTAATTAATTCTATGTGAGACCATATAGTAACACAAGTTATATGCGCAAGCCATCTATGTAAGTAAGGATATGTATGATTTATACAACATGAGTGAATAGTCTAGAATGTATGACGCTTATTCTATGTGGATGCATGTTAGGGAGACTACTCGTTGCAAGACATATTCGAAATCGAAGTCTATTCCATGAAACATGCTAAGCGATTCTGTTCCATATGGAATAACATAGAAAACATCAGACTATTCTATATACGTTTCAAATATCTATACTATGTCTTGGTAAATTAGTACCACAGTAACACGAGAATCAGAAACTAACTAACAAGTAAATTGTGCAACGCGAAACGATTTAACCGTCATATTAAAAATATACACAAAGATGCTTGGAAAATCTAACAAACATAAACACTTAATCGACCCTCCAGTTGTGTTTTAACCGATTTTAATCCGACATGCAAGAGAAATAATTGTGAAATTGCTCAAATCTATATAAATAGTTCACACAAGAACACCATCAAATAGAGAAACTACTTCTGTGTCAATCGGAACTTACAGTAGGTGATAGGGCATGTTACTCGTGGCGTCTCCTTTCTATCGATCCTCCGCCTCTGTTAGTTGTCTTGTATATTTTACAGATTTCAGATTCCAAGAATGTTAAGCGTTGTTACGGGCAGATTCGTTGAACGAGTAGTCTCGTTGTGACAGCAACGACATGAATGAAGGCGGTGAGGATGCGGTGGACAAATCTGGGAAGAGGATTATTTATCTTTTACAAACTTATGAGATATACTAAATTTGAGAAAATATGTGATTTTTGAGAAGCCACGAATAACTTTTTCACTGTTATCATTATTAATTTTTTTTTNACGGGCAGATTCGTTGAACGAGTAGTCTCGTTGTGACAGCAACGACATGAATGAAGGCGGTGAGGATGCGGTGGACAAATCTGGGAAGAGGATTATTTATCTTTTACAAACTTATGAGATATACTAAATTTGAGAAAATATGTGATTTTTGAGAAGCCACGAATAACTTTTTCACTGTTATCATTATTAATTTTTTTTTTCTTTGCAGGTTTTCTCGGTTGCATATAAGGGTAATATAGCAATATTATGTATAAGTCATGTGTTATATAGATGAGATAGGGCTTTTGGTCATACATTGAATTATAATTTGTTTGAATGATATACAATGCAATTTCCCTATTAAAATACCCACCGTATCAGCTTATCTGGTTTTAATTTTGCTTGTGTATATTTAGCAAAACGAAAACTTAGTAAAGAGATTATTTGAATTATTTCTGGAGTTTTGTTTACAAATGATGAAATGAGAATGTACAAAAGGTTTTGTGTTTTTTTTTTGACAAAAAAAAAAAAAAAGAAACACAAAACCTTTTGTACATTCTCATTTCATCATTTGTACAAAAGGTTTTGTGTTTCCAAAATGAAGTTTGTTTTGGAATCACATTTTCATAACGCTTGTACAATGACATATTGATGAAACTGCAACCTATGTTTTAATAAACCACTTTTCGAATTTCTATGTTGGTCATTTTAACTCATAGATTGTTTTTTTGAACTAATGTTAAATTTATTCGAATAAAAAAACGTTTTTACAAAGAATGTGACAAGTAATCTAAAGCTCTTATTTAGACAATCATCTTGTATTATTGCTAACCAAGCCCCCATCGCTTAACTCGTAAATCACATTATATTCTCTCTCAGATGGTAAACCAATGACTTGATGCCGAAACTGAAAGTAAATAAATTGTCATCACAGTGGAGTGATCTTTGCTCTGAAATCATGCGTCTGATGTCACCCACTAACTAGCCTAGAGATTGAGTCTACGCTAACACTATTTACAATCATCATTATGCCATTGTAAATACATCTCCATTCCAAATCTATTTTTTCTTCTATAATTTTATTTTTGGAACTGATAGAATTGTTATTTCATTCTATTCCTACTAAATGGTTTAGAAATTTGATGAATTGCTGGAATCAATCATTCCACATCAATTTATTCCAAAAAACTACATTTCAATTGCAGGTTAAGTTTTAATATGTTGCTGTAATATTGACAACACTTAGGGAGGCTATAACACTTAATCCACTTGATTAATTTATATGTTTTATATATTATTAATTGAATAATTTGAAATCAATTCAAATGTAAAAACACTATTTTGTGAGTGGCTGACAAAAGATTAGTGGTTTATGACTATTTAAAATAATCTTGGCATAATTTAGCGGGTTTTTTTATTTTAAACTTTTTATAGTCAAGCCAAGCCCAATACATGTCTACATAAAATGGTAGTTCTTTTACTATAAGTGATATTTTGTTGGAAAATTGATGTTTTTGATTTGTTCCCACGAGAAGGACGAATGAATGGCAAATGAAGACTTATCTCTTTCAATTTCTGATATCCTTATGTTTATTGTAATGTTCAGAGGATGGATAGTTCCCTCTTGTAACCAAGAAGTTTAATTATTGAAGTTAAGTTGTGCACAAAAAGAAGAAAAAAAAAGAATTGGCAAATGAATGATAATAGAACTCAAGTTACATAGAGCTTGGGCCATATTTTTCTGTTGAATAAACATTTGGACCCAATTAACACTAAAAATCAACCCATCCTCATCTCTAACAAATTTATCTCATCCCATCCCCATCCTCAGCCCACACCTATTATATATAGAAACCTTTGAGGACACATGCAGCTGTGAGTCCTTTGATTCACATACAAATGTACTTTTAGGCCTTTAAAGTAGATCATAAGATTTTTAAGATTGGGTTGCTTTCTTAAGATTCTCTAATCATTAAATGGAGTTTTCTGAAGACAGAAAATTTGTCAAAAGTTAAGATCTCTTTATCATACACACTTGTGAAGTACACCGAACATGCAAAAACAGTAAACAAAGAAACTTCAAAAACCAAAAAAGAACGAAACTGGAGATTCGTTAATCTCTATTTGTACACCTAAAACTCAACACAGAACCAAAACAAAAAAACTTCTAAGACGAGCACAAAAAAAGACCATTTCATTTTCACTCGCTGCACACGAGTCCAAGCTCAATCTTACACGTATCCTCCTCATCCTCGCACGTGCCAGACTTCTCCAACTTCCGTTTCTTAATCGGCACAACCACGTGACTCCCACCACGTGCACCAGACGGCTCCAACCCCAAAGTCAGCTCTAGCCCGATCCAACTCGGTTCCTCCGTCATCGTCTCCTCCGAAGAAACCATACTCCCTTCATCCTTCACCACCGCAGACTCATGACTAAGCGACGACTCGTGACTAAGCGACGACCTCACGTTCCTCCCTTCTTTGCATGCACCACCACGGCTTAACCTACACCGACTCTTCACGATACTCTCGTCTTTCGACACGTGTCTTATGTCAAAGAGCTTGTTGGTGTTGTTGAAAGGAGGAGCTTGACCAGTGACCGCCATGTCACATGCGATTGGAGTCACCGGAGAGCCTCTCATCACCGCTTCCACGGCTGCTTGACAAAGATGCCAGTTTCCAGACCATAATAAGCCGACGGATCCGTAAATAGGATTCACAATCCTCCCGCATGCTTCATACAACAACGATCTAAATATCGCTGCAAATATTTTTTGTTTTTAAATGATCACTATTAGCACATGCAAGTGAAAATATTGGTGGTCTTAGAAAAAAATTCTTGCACACAATTAAATTATTAACATAATTATAAAATATTAACATAAATATAAACTAAACTTATTTCTACAATTTTTTTTTCTTTTGACTTTTTAGGATGGTTCGGGCCTTCGCCCTTGATCTCTCCCTAAATCCGATACCAGTCTATATATGTCTGTACCCACGCAATAAGGCCTAAGTCATACCATAGTCAGTACTAGTCAAATCCGGGGTCGTGTTTCTGTTTACTATCAGACTAACTCGTCTGGTTTCTACAAATATTAAACTCTAAATAAATTATATATCTCTCTGAAATTTTGAGGATCGGCTATGTTTATTAGATACATGATAGAGAGAAAAGTAGAATGAGATCTTTCAAATGATTTATTTACAGATGCATGCAGAAAACAAACACAACCCCACTAGTGTTGCAAGAACATGGGATGATCTATTATTAGGTGCATGATTATAGAGTAAAACAGAGTCAAATATTGACTCACCAGGACGGAGGTGATCGGGACCAGTGCTGAGGAGGTTCATTAAGCCGGCACGGCCGTAGAACTTTGCGAGGAAGACGGTGGCGTTGGCTTGAGATTCGGCGGATTTGATCCATTGGAGACAGGGTCTTATGCTACAGTTTTCGCTGCAGCCTTTTCGAAGAACTCGACATCCGTTACAGCTCATACGCATTTTTCTTAAAGGAAGATGGAGAGGAGAGAATTTTTTTTTGTTAAGAGGAAAGTACAGTACGGTCCTGATCTTAGACGAAAGGAAAGGTATTAATAGAGAAACGAAGCAAGCTAGGTTTGGTCGGAGAGATCATTAAACAAAGAGCGGACATTGTTTGTTGTTGTATTCTTTTTTTCAATTTTGACGTGTAGTGTTGGTGAATTTAGAAAGCGACAAACAAGTATTTAATATAAATTCCGTAATTGGCTTTGAATTTAGTATAATATTATTTAGGTTATTGACAATTTGGAAATCAAAAACATAGAAGTTAAAATTTGGATATAAATTTTAACAGTTACTTATTGTATTGACTATGTCTATATGATTTTGATAGATTTAACTAATAACAATCAACACGATGTAGATTGTAGAACCATAAGATAATAATCGGCTCAAAACTCAGAAGTAGGAAACTTATACAACACAAATCAAAGTTCATCAAAATAGTAACACTAAAACTAAAAGTTCATCACATAGAAGTTGTTTGAAGCACCTTTCTCCAGTATTTTGTTGACATGAACATTATAAAAAAATTATAAAAATCGTAAGTTAAAAAAACATTATAAAAATTGTCATTTTCTCACTTCTCATCTTTTTTTATTGCTACTATAGAATGCAGATTTCTTTTCTTTCTGTTTTTTTAATATCCTTTTCACCGACCCTCACGCAGTGCGCGTGGTTTGCATCGGCCAAAAGCCAGTAAAAACGTTTTTGAAATTTTCTTACATTTTACCGGAGTTTTATATATACTCATATTAAACAATGGAACTACCAAAATAACTGGAGAAGGTGAATTTGAAGAGGAGATTACTACACCGAGACAAGAAGAGGGTAAAATGGGAAAGTTAGAGAGGAGAAGTTCAAGCTTCAAAGCCGCATGCAAGTGTAAAAGTGCCGTCACGTGGCGGAGACATTGTGGTAACAGAGTATGGTCGTATTGCCGCGTTCCCTGAGCGAGATACATTATGTAGCTCCATCTTCAATTCTGATAATTAACATTAATATCCAAACTACTTTTAATTTATTTGAATGGATTCATTTTTGATACTCTCATTGTCACCCTTAACAATAATGTCAACGTATGTTCGTTAGATTCGGTAATTTTATTTACATTAGAACAACAGGCATTGATTGGCATGCAGTGTTTACCTAAACTCTAGTTACTTCAAAATGTTGTAAAATCACAATTACTTATTATTTCTTTCATTTTTTATTTTCTATACCTTTATTATTCAAAATATTTTATATATGAAGAAAGGGATATCTTAATATTCAATATATGTTTACAAAAATAAGTCTAACGACACCTTTTTTTTTTTGGTAACATTACGTTTTGAAGATGAACAGATTTTGGTATATTGATACATGTCTGTGTTGCTTCTCATTTGATGTACGTACAGTACGTAGAATCATAGTTTTTTCAATGTTAGAACGTACATTCATGCATAGTTTCCAATAAAAATGGTAAATAGTTAAAAATTGTTGTCCCTTCGACAATATCTGATTGGGATGATAATATATTTTCTGTGCCAAAGAATTATACGCACAAGTCAAGAAATAGTTGAAATAGTAATCTAAAGAAACATTTAAGAGATGCCTGCAACTTACGACACAATCTATAATTACAATGTGTTGTTCAAAACAAAACAAAAAGTCTATAAATAATATTCATAATGTTCAATCAATTTACACAAGAAATTCTCACATGGTTATATTGTTGTTTAGGTTGTATCATTGTATGTTTAGCTAAAGTATTTTTTTAGTCATTTTTTTTAACTACGACAGGTAAATAAATTGTGAAAAACGGACGTACAACCATAACAAAACTAGGACATGCTAATTAAACATAATGACCTAATAAACCCTCCCATAAACTAACTATGAAACTTAAAGTTCCTTCTGAGGTATGGACACTATTTCTTTTCAGAAACTGGCAGTGAATAACAAATATAGTCACGTCTCAGATCTAAACGACATAGGTAACTAATATTTGCTTACGTTTTAATTATACATTTGAGCACAAGTACAAAATTTCCCGGTTTTCCGGAGAAGGAAAAAGTAAAAGTGATGATGAAGGCACTAATCCGGTTTGTTTGTTCTCTATGGGCGTTATAAATGGTTTTACACTTCCGAATTCCGATCTTTCTTGGCTCATTTTTCAGCCTCTGGTTTCTGAATTTTTTGGGGGACAATGGTCAACGTGGTCTGGAGTTTCCCTTCACTCTCAAATTTTCCATTTAAATATTTGGGATAACTGAAATAATCTAATACAACTATGAACGATTTAAGGTTGGGTCGAAAATTTCGATTTATAAATATCAGGCAGTGAGTAATTAAATCGTAGTTAACGTTGGCCTTAACCCTTGTTAATTGGCCGTCCATCCCATGATTGACCACTGTTATATTAAAATAATTAATTAACTTGTTAATAAATCATGTGGAAAAAATCATGGAGTAGGAATACAGATGCTCTCGATATGATTAAAAATTGGTCCAGTTGGATGAGTGGAGTCGGGCATATAAACCCAATGAGTTTAAACCGTATTACTGTATGCAGTTTTATAGATTCAGTTTAAATATTTTGAATGTGTCGTTAGGCCTTAAGTGCATACCACTTGCGCCAAGCAACAACAGTTCTTTGATTTTTACTAAAGTTGAAAACTGAATAAAATTAACATATAGCCATTTTAGGTTTTTCTACATCAGTACCATTATACAAATTTGTTATGCCGGCTTTCGCATGGTTGACACGATTATCACTCCCATATTGCTTAATATATAAAAAGGGATATAAAATAGTGAATATCATCATGCGAATCAAGACTCGTCCAAGAATAAATTAATAGTATAATTTATACTATGAAAAACATTTGATGCATGATTTGATCTAAAGTTTTATTTGGCAGATTTATTGTCGTCTTAAATTATCTTGAAGTACTGTATGAACCTTACAATAAATTTTAATTCAAATTGTCTGGATGTTTTAAGATTAACAAGATCATGATTCCTGTACATGTTGAAAAGAGTAAATGAATTCTTTCAATAAGAGAAAGATGCATTCTGCATAGGTAATAAGTCGAAAACAGATGCATACAAAATATGAACATACGAACTTTTTTTTGTCGTGGCATGGTAATCAAAATAATCATATATATACTATAAATATATATGGAGCATGGAGGTTTATCTGATGCAGAATCCAACGTTAACTCTAACTTTTGTGTATCAATTTCTTTCTCCCGATTTCTATCAAAACTGAAGGTAGAAAAAATCAAATATATATTAAAAAGTCGAGCTAAAAAACAAGCCATGAAATGTCTAAACAAAAAAAGGGTAGTGAACTTTTGTTGATAATACATTGAACTGAAAGAAGAACGACAAATGGAGGAGAGATAGGTGAAGTGCCATGCAAAAATGTCCAAAAGAATTGTACACTGGAAAAATAAATAAATAATGAAAGAGCCAAACAGAGTTAATGTAAAAGTAGGGTTGGGCATCCATATGACCGCGCGTGTATAATACGTCATGGTTTGATTTTAAAGTGCGGACAAAACCAGTTCTATATTCCAATCACTTCCATGATATTAGGAGGAACGCAATAATAATAATCAAGATGGTATTCAAAGTTTCAAACCCAGGGGCTAGCGTTTTTCCACCGTTTTCGGGACTGTGGGCTAAACCAATTACTCGAACGTATTTGCACTTCGTACATATACAGAACCTCATAATTAACATACCCTAAATCCCACCTAAAGATACTTTTGTTCATAAACACCAATTAATCCTATCAAAAATATTTTTTTTTTATTTTCACACTTTGTTTTGGTTTTTTACCAAATTCACTTTTTTTTATAAAAACAACAATTAAGATAAATTTGTGATCAATTTCTGGAGTGGCATTCCCTCAATTTTCACCCATAAAGGTATTGTCTTGAGTGATAGGCTATTCACATCCAGAACCCACCTATAAATTATCAACATACAATCATTGAACACCATGGATCCGTCATATATCACATCTTTCTCAGAGGAAAAAAAACTAACAGGATTTTATATTTCAGTTAATCATCCAATTCTGTTACCCATTAAACCTCACATCTGAGACAAATATGTTATTATCACTATGGGATTTTGTTTTCTCTCAATCAACGATCTTCCTATAACTGAATGTTGATTCACCTAGACTGATTCATTACACATTTCCACTGGAAGGCTTACTAGTTCATATTGACTCCTGGATTCACATTTTAAAATAAATGATGCAAATTTTCCGCCATTCGAAAACAAAGTATACTGAATAGAGAGGAACAAGTGGGCCAGTGGTCGCACCACTTCTGCTGCCATCTCACCAATCATGGTTCGAACCTTGGATCTGTCTCTAATAAGAGGAACTATTAGGTCATTGTGCTATTGAGAAAAGAAAACCTTGAAAAAGTAAAACTGAATATAAAAGAAATAATTTTGAAACAGAGAGACAATTTGTGAGGAACAATAAATTGAAATCTCCTAAACTTCTAAATATATATTGTAAGTGAATTAACTTTCACATTAGTTATAATGACTACATATTTATCATGTTAGACATGATAATTTATTTTATTCACATTTTAAAGGTCTAATCTAAGTTTAGTTTTAGAGTTCACCATATCATTTCAAACTAAATTTAACATGGAAAAAGGAAACATATATAAAAAATTTAAGTTGTATTATTTGTTTCTTCATAAAGAAAGGTTAAAACCCATTAAAAATAAAATAAATAGCACCAGCACCGTCACACAATTCATTTTAGATGAAGATAAAAATTATAAAATAATTTTCCACGTGGCATTATTTGTGTGGTTCAAATTGATAAGGTTATCACCGTCTTTTCTTAGTTTTTTTTGGCAATTACAATGCAACTAAACTTCACCCATATCCACTCAAAATTTCAATGGTCAAAATTTTATTCTACTTTAATATCTAAAATTCTCAACCCTCTGATCATTATATGGGTTGTTCCCACTGTTGATACAATTATATATAGACAACATAAGTAATATACCTAAACGTAACGCATACAGTGAAAAAAAAAGTGATATGACTTTCTGTATGCTTTCTTCTGCCACAATTGCCTCTTCTCTGGCTCATACCACAATGGTCCCACCCTTCATTGGGCTTAAGTCCTATGTTGTTTTCCCAGTGATCCGCAAGGCCAATTCCAACATTACTTCCATTGCAAACAACGGAGGAAGAATCAACTGCATGAAGGTCATACATATTTCTTATACCAAAAATAAATTGATGGTTTTAAATTCTGAATTATTCAGAAGTTATATTGCTTTTGTTGATTGGTAAAAAGCCAGGTGTGGCCTCTTGTTGGAAAGAAAAAGTTTGAGACTATGCCTTACCTTCCTACCTTACCGATGTTGAACTAGTTATGGAAGTTGACTACCTTATCCGCAACAAATGGACTCCATGTATTGAATTCGAGTTGGAAGTAAGCAAATTTGAAAAATATGGTTTATAAATATTTTGAATAGGTAGATCTTGTAAATGATACTAAGTCAATCATTATATGAGGCTTATAACCATCTCAAACTATATTTAGAGGTCCTATGGAGATTTGTGTTGAAGAAATGAAATTAAGGAGTCTCTATTTATGATTTGTATTTTTTTTTGTAGCATGGTTTTGTGTACTGTGAGCACGGAAATATCCCTGGATACTATGATGGACGATATTGGTCAAGTGTTGAAGGAAGTGAAAGAGTGCAAGAATAAGTACCCCAACGCCTTCATTAGGATCATCAGATTCAACAACAACCGTCAAGCCCAATGCATCAGTTTCGTTGCCTACAAGCCACCAATCTTCATTGATGCTTAATTTCATAGCTTTGATGCTTTGTGTAAACAAGAAAACTTTAGTTTTTACCAACTTTTGATTCTGTCATTCGATATATCTTATCTTTTATTTTAATTTCTTGATTTAGCATATGTGTTCAGGTTTACATAAAATTTTATATCACATTTTCAAATGTCTGACGAAAATATGTAATGTTTTATAAATCCTTGTGAATTTGCATATAAGAAAAAAAAATGACAATTGCTCAAGTATATTTAATATTTGAACAAAAAGAAAAGAAAAGTTTTCACTGAAATGAAGTAATTATTTGAAAAATTAGAACCACATTAAAACATTTGTTACGTGATTAATCTGTAGAAACATTTCTCAAACAATATCTTACAGTAAAAATTAGCCCACTAACAATCTAAGATGAAAGCATAAGTGGACATGCATTCTATTTTAATAATTCATTGTAAAATATACGAAGTAAAGTATTTTACAAAGAATATTTATTTTTATATTTTGTAATTAGTTTAATTATTAATATTTTGTCACAACAAAATTATCTAAAATCATGTAAGAATATTGTTTCACAGTCTTGGTTCCCAAATTTTACTTTTTGCATCTTAATTAGTTTTTAGCAGCTTAATCATTTTTCTGGATTTCACGATTAAGTGGTGATTATCAATCGGAGCCATTGTAGAATGTGAATCATAGACATTTATTATTTTTGGCCTTCATCTTTAAACATTTTCCAATCAAATGACTAATGAACATATTCACATAACAAGATTGGAACTATGTAGAGTGAATTTGAAGAGAGGATAAGAAGAATTGTTGGAGACGCTGAAAATGATATATTCGTAAGAAATCTTCTCTTAGTTTGGAATATGTTGCTTTTAGTAACTACAGATCTTAATAAAGGGAAAAAGAATAGTGCTTGGTTATGATTCAGACGATTTTCCATCTCAGTCTACTGTAGTTTACATGCAAGTTGGATCCACGATCTCTTCAGGATTAATAGAGAGAGATCGTTACAGTGATCAGATCTCAAAGTCTCAATGTGGGTGATTCTCATATGTCTTGTGATTTTTTTTTTTTCATAATGATTCGACGGTTTCTATGACTTGGATAAAATGATTTTCAGTATGGAAGAGACTCAGTTATGTGTGGCTTTTTAGAAAGACCAAATGTGTGGTCTTCTCCTTCTTTTGTCAGTTCTCAACTCTAACAAAAGAAAGTTTTCTTTGGGAATTTGAAGAGATTAAATAATGTGCCTTTCTTATTGCTTCAAGTACAATTATGACATCTTTTGGGCAGTCATATGTATGTCGCTAGGGGAAATCCGGGGTGAATGGCTGATTTACTTGAGGCTCAGAAATGTTAATCTACTGTTTATGGGATTGATTGGTCTGTGCTGTAGTTTTAGTTTTTTTTTTTTTTAGAAAATTGGTTGTAAGTTTTCTGCTTTAGTTTTAATTTTTTTGCTATGGATTTATTTTCAAATCACTTAATAAAAACTGTAGAAAAATTGCGTTGGAAAGCTAACATATTTTCATTTCTAACTTTTTGTTGTAGTTTTATTTTTAAGACTAAATCATAATTACTTTATAAAAATGGAAAAATAGTTGTCCAAAGCATCTCCAGCCGCTGCTAGTCAATCTCTATGTTTTTTTATTTGGATTAGTATCTAGTGATTGGATATTTTTTAATTCATTTATGTTTAGTGGTTGTGATGTAAAAAGGTTTTATTTTATCTGTATGTAGCATTTTAAAAAGTCTCACCATCAATATATTTTGTGGAAAAGTGGAAGAAAAATATTCTCACTTTCACTAAAATTATTATTCTTTCTTGATATATACATCGATATTTTCTTTGTTTTAATAAAAAGACTCAAAAACATAAAATATTGATACAATTATTTATCCAACTTTTCATTTTTATTTTCTCGTTCTCTTACTACACGTTACTCTATTAATATACAGTTAACATTTTGATTTTACCAATTCGATCCGATCAGAATTAGACACATGTCTATGTATCTTCTTATTGTTTTCTAAATATATTCCATCCGTTTCGAATTAATTGTCATTCTGGAGAAAAAATTTTGTTTCAAAATAAGTGTCGTTTTAGAGTTTCGAGACAAAATTTATTAGTTTTATATGATATTCCTTTTTTCTATTGGTTGAAAAGTGGTTAGGTGTATAGGTAATTGTGTTTTTTCTTGAAAATATGTAAAATTATATGTTTCCTTAATCTGTGTGCAAAAATGTAGAATGACAATTAAAGTGAAAAAGAATGAGTATTAAAGTTATCGTTTAGGGAAGATTTTCTCCCGTAAATAACTCCATTCGTTGACCGAATAGAGATTTAATTCTCTTAATGCAATTCTCAAAGTCATAAGATAATAATGATATAATTAAAAGTAAAACCGAAGTAATGGTGGAAACACCAACTTTTGTCTTTTGTATTTGGAGGGTGAGTAACAACCAATGCTGAGTAGAAGTAGCACTGTCACTCTTGTCTTATTCTGCCCTGAAACTTGACTTGTATCTTGTCCACCTACATTCATCCTGATTTTGAGTAAGCCATTCCTTTTTAATATCCTTTGAAGTTATGATATTTGATTTAGCCATATTACTAATTCTTCTGCTTTATAATTATCTTTTAATCCAGTCACCATAAATCAGGACTCCGACTTTTGCTTGAGTAATTTGTTTGTGGAATGTGCATACGCTTTTTTTTTTTTTTGCTGAAACTGAAATCCTAAACCATTTATCATCGGTTGTTACAAGATTTTGATGCTTTTGTAATCAGTTTATGAGGATTTAGTGGTTGGTCCTGGATGGTTCATCACGGTATTTAATACTAGATTTTGCTTTCTCTTTTTCTTTTACAATATTTTATAATGGTAGGAAATGACGGTAATTTTGGTAGAAGTTTTCTATTGACACCCCTAAACCAATGTTCAATCCTTGCCATGACATCTCTTTTATTTTTTTTATTTAAAAAAAAAATTATTCACACCTCTTAAATCTTCGACCATAACCGTCATTGATGGTCAAGATGGATATTTCAACTGACAGAAAATATCTCATATTTTGAAATTAAGAGATTTAGTTTAAATTTGGGATTAATATATCATAGATCATCACTAATTTATCTTTATTTTCTCTATTTTTTTTTTTAAATAGAGATATTCTATTATAGAAGTGGATTTATTCTGATGTATAACTTTATACTTCCTCCATTTCAAATTATATGTCATTCTAGAGTAAAATTTCCGTTTCAAAATAAGTGTCGTTTTATAATTTTAATGCAAAATTTATTGATTTTAAATGTTATTCTATTTTTTCATTGGTTGAAAAGTAGTTAGGTGTATAGGTAATTGTGTTTTTATTTTGAAAATATGTAAAATTAATTGTTTTCTTAATCTGTGTGCAAAACTCTAAAATGACAATTAAATTGAAACGGAGGGAGTAATAAAGTTCATTTATTTTGAAAGGAAAATATAATTTCTACTATTAAATATAAAGATACAATATATCATTATTTAAAAATATCTTCAATGTATATCTTTATATTTTTTTCAGAGATTTCTATTAACAAAGGTAGTTTTACTTTAATATAGTACTCTATAATAGAGTTTTTATTTTTGAGTAGAAATCTCTAGTAATGTTATTTTTGTCTCAATATTTAAGGATGAAAATATTGTCTCTATATTTTTTTGTTAAAAATAGAATTACTCTATTATAGAGCCATATAAATCAAATCCGCTAAGAAACAAAATACTAAAGCAAATTTAATTTTATAATAGAGTTTTATTTTAAAGAAAAATAGATGCAGGTTGGAAATGATCTTGTTTAAAATGGTTATCAATATAAAAATATAGAAAATCGAACTAAATTACCGAAATAAAAGTACAACGTTTTTTTTTTTTTGAAGTGAGTGGATGGATGAGCCAAAAAAGCCACAAAAGTGACGAGTATAATTGTAGACACTCAGAAAAAGGAAGAAAGAGTGACGTAAAGGCTTTCTTCTTCTCCCCCACTTCCTTCCCCTTTTTTCAGTCAGTGGAAAAACTCTTTTAAAGATTTGTTTTATTTACCATAAATAAAATGCATTATAGTTCGTTATAGAACCTTAAATGAAAGGTCATTTCCTGTCAAAGAGTTCGTAAAGTTTTGAATCAGAGATGGCTTTTTCTCAGCCTTTGTCTTCTTCGTCTCTCTCGGTATTTCACTTTTTCATAATTTAATTTATTCTCCAACATATACATCTGTAACTGATGTGTTGTTTTGATCTTGTCGGATTAGATTCTGTGTTGAGCTTAGTTACTAGTACTTAGAATCAATTTAGCCAATTAACGAGTTCACTTCCCCTGTCTCTGTCTGAAAATTTTCAGATTCTTAGATTTTAATGTCGTTATCAATTTTTTATTTTTATTTATTTTTAGCAGATTAGATTATTTTTTTATTTTTTGTGTGGTACAGATGATGAATCGCAACGTTGTAGCTAAGAGCTCGGTGACAGCAACTCTTTCTCTCAACAAATCTAGAGTGTGCGTTGGTTCTTTAAAGATTCAATTCAAGAATCGTTGGAGCTTCATCGGAGGATCAAGAATCGTTGTTTCCCCTAGTGTTTCATCTTCTCTTGTTCACAAGAAACGCTCCTGCTGCGTACGAGCTTCATGTAATGTCTCTTAACTGAAAAACAGAGCTTTGAACTTCGTCGAGATTCATGGTTTGTTGATGTGTTCAGGGTTAGCTACGTCTCAGATCGCAAGCAGTGTGTTTGCTGTTGGAACAACCGCGGTTCTTCCTTTTTACACTCTAATGGTTGTAGCTCCTAAAGCTGAAATTGTGAGTCTTCTCTTTTGTTGCAGTGTTTTACAACTTCTTGTTCAGAACTATAAGTGGTTCATTTGAAATTGAATATGTGTGTTTCTTTTTTGCTAGACCAAGAAGTGTATGGAGAGTAGCATACCGTATGTTGTCTTAGGTGTATTATACGCGTATTTGTTATATCTTTCTTGGACTCCTGAAACTCTCAAATACATGTTTTCTAGTAAATACTTGTTACCAGAGGTTGGTTTCATCTTTCCCCTAAATTTTATAGAACATATATAACAATCTTTCATTGTAGTTACTACATGTTTCCTCTCTTTTTTTTGTCTAAATCCGCAGTTGTCTGGAATTGCGAAAATGTTCTCAAGTGAAATGACTCTTGCTTCTGCTTGGATTCATCTTCTTGTTATTGATCTTTTTGCTGCTAGGTATGTTGCAATTTTCAGGTTTTTGGTTTAATCAAAAGTCTAAAAAACATGTTCCTTATAAGACATGTTTTGTTTGTTTATATGCAGACAAGTTTTTAATGATGGCTTGGAGAATAAGATCGAGACGAGGCACTCGGTTTCACTTTGCCTTCTCTTCTGTCCGGTTGGAATCGTTTCTCATGTGGTGACCAAAGCTTTAAACAGTTCTACATCAAGTACCAATAACCAGTGCAAGTAAAGCTGATCATCTTGGTTGGTCTCTCATCATTGTCTTTTCTTAACTGCATCTTAAGATTTTTGATTGGGATAGTTCCATTTTGCTTTAGCTTCGGTTAAGTTACAACAGAACGAGTTTGTTGTGGATTTAGTTCTTGACAAAACCAAATAAGACCAAACAACTTGAGACTGTGTTTTTACTATTTGGTAGACACATCATTGCCTCTATTGATCTTAAAGATCGAATTAGAATTTTATTTTCAATTAACCACTGAGTGGTGTTACCCATTAAGCCCCACATCTGGTGACAAACATGTTATTATCACCATGAAGTTTTGTTCTCTTGGAATCAAGGATCTTCCTATAAGTGAATATTGATTCACCCAGACTGATTCATTACATATTTCCACGGGAAGGACTAGTAGTTCATCTTTGACTCCTAGTTTTACATCTTGAACTAAGTGATGCAAATTGTCTGCCATTCAAAACAAAGTAAAAATGGATATAAAAGCAAAAAAATATTGAAACAGGGACAGACATTTTGTGATGAAGGTAACTTGAAATCTTCTAAATTTTTCAATCAATATTTTTAGTGAATTAACTTTCACACAAGTTATTCTGATCACATATTTTTAGATTATCATGTTAGGCATAATATTTTTTTCATATTTTTAAAGGCCCAATTCTAATTTTAATTTGGGCTTCACCATATCATTTTTAACCAAATTTAATATGATAAAAGAGAAACATATATAAAGTCTTCAGTAATATTATTTGTTTCCTCTTAAAGAAGGGGTCATACCCACCAAAAAATAAAACAAGTAGCACCACCATCACACATTTCATTTATAGATAAAGATAAGATTCATGGAATTATCTTCCACATGGCATTATTTTAGTGGTTCAGACCGATAGGGATATCACCACATTTTTCTTATCTTTTGTGACAGTTACAATGAAATTAAACTTCACCCATATCCACTCAAAATTTCAATGGTCGAAATTCTATTATACTCTATCTCTTGGATTCTCAACCTTCAGATCACTCCACCTCTTGTTCCCACTGTTCATACCATTATATATAGACGGCCTAAGCACTACACCTAAACATAACTCATACAGTAAAAACAAAGAGAAGGTGATATGGCTTCCTCAATGCTCTCTTCAGCTACAATTGTCTCTTCTCTCGCTCAGGCCACAATGGTCGCACCATTCACCGGACTTAAGTCCTCTGCTGCTTTCCCAGTGATCCGCAAGGCCAGCATCGATATTACTTCGATCACAAACAACGGTGGAAGAGTTAACTGCATGAAGGTAATACATATACTTATACCAAAAATAAATTTGATGGTTTTTAATTATTTAGAAGTAATATTGATTTTGTTGAACGGTAAATAAACAGGTGTGGTCTCCTATTGGCAATAAGAAGTTTGAGACTTTGTCTTACCTTCCTGACCTTACCGATGATAAACTGGCTAAAGAAATTGACTACCTTATCCGCAACAAGTGGACTCCATGTGTTGAATTCGAGTTGGAGGTAAGAAAAATTGAGAAATGAACATTTACAAATATTTAGAATAAATAGATCTTGTAAATGATACTAAGTTGTAGATGATGAATCTTTTAACCATCTCAAACTATACTTAGAGATCTTGTACATATTTGTGTTGTAGTAAATGAAAATAGGGAATCTCGATTTATGGTTTCTGTAATTTTCGTAGCACGCTTTTGTATACCGTGAGCATGGAAACATCCCTGGGTACTATGATGGACGTTACTGGACAATGTGGAAGCTTCCTTTGTTCGGGTGCACTGATTCAGCTCAAGTGTTGAAGGAAGTGCAAGAATGCAAAAAGGAGTACCCCAACGCCTTCATTAGGATCATAGGATTCGACAACAACCGTCAAGCCCAGTGCATCAGTTTCATCGCCTACAAGCCACCCAACTTAACTGGTGCTTAACTACACAGCTTCATTGCTTTGTGTAAACAACAAAACTTTATCCTTTCCCGTCTTTGATTTATCATCTATTTTATATGTTTTTATCTTTTTTTAATTTCTGGATTTAGTGTTTGTTTTCCGGTTTGCAATAAATTTTCTATTGGCTTCTCAAATGTCCGATGAAATAAATAAGTAATGTTATATAAATATTTTATTTTGAATTTTGCCTTTAAGAAAACCAAATGACAATGGCTCAAAACATGAACTTTACAAAGTTGAAGAACACTAAAACTAAGTGAAATTAATCTTTGAGTTGTCATTACTAAAGTTGGAAAAACATAAAAGAAAAATGAAGTTATTATCAGAAAAAAATAGATTCACATTAACATTTTTATAGCATGACTAAGGTGTCAAACCATTTTCAAACAATATCTTAAAATAAAAGATGGCCCCACTAAAAATCTTTAGCGGATTTTTTAAAAAAAAGGATTTGCATATAAGAGTCTTGGATATTCAATTTTATTTTCATTTAAACGTATAATGTATTCAAGGATTTTGTGCAATGTGGATCATATACATATTTAGTAGTGGTCTTGATTTTTATAAGGTCACAAGCTGACTGAGAGAAAAAAGGCTGAAGTTGGCATACTCAGGGTTTGAAGTCGGAAGATTGGGATAAAGATAGATGATTTACACCACTAAACTAAAGGGATTTTTAAAAAACATTGGCCGGATTTAATATGGAGATCAGAAGTCCATGATTCCTTAACTTCCCTTCAAAGCCGGACATATTTTAGTCATTCATCTTTAAACAATTTCCAATTAAATAACTTATGAACAAATACTTATCTTGGAACTATATCAAGTGAATTTGTAACTTCTTATGCTATTTTTGCAAGTTTTGAATATATCTTAGGTGCAGTAAAAATCCAATTTTTTTTTATTCAAATAAAAATAAATTGAAGTAAAATATCTTCTAAGAAAATAATATATTATGAAGAATCTCCATAAAGGAAAAAATATTATTTATTTCTACCATTCAATCTAAATAAATTTAAATTTTTTTCCCTAAAAAATATCACAACAGAATACGTAGAATATATTTTGTTTTTATGTGTTTCTTTTTGTTGATTAACAAGGTGGAAATTGACCAAACAAAACCAAAATTTGTGGGTCAAAGGATCTTAATGGTATCATGAAAAATAATCTACCCAGCTATCTTCTTATTCTATTATTTTCTCAAATCTATACTATTAAAGCAGGATCCTATTGATTTTTTACCTAAAAATACCCTTTACTTTACTAACCTTGCATGTTTCATTAAGGGCAATCAAGTAATATTAAGAACACATCTATACTGGGTCATTTTTTCAGATCCAGCCCACTGTTCACAACAAATCTCTCTTGGACCATTTGGGCCGATTAAGAAATCAGATCATTTTTCCTTTGGGTCATTGAGTCCAAGTTCAAAAATTTTTTGACCAACTTTCTTAATTATTATTTTTTTCTTTTCTTAATATAATTTAAACATTCATAAAAAGTTGAATATTTTCATTGAAAAGTATAAATCTTTAATAAAACTATATAATTTTTATTAAAAATAGTACCACATAATAAAATTAATTTATCATAGTTATACCAACTTAATTCATTAAAGAAATGAAGTTTAATTTTTTAAACGTAAATAGTCATTTAAAATGAAACACAATAAAGAAAGATAAAAAGTTTAAGTCTTTTATAAAATAAAACACAAATATATGAAAATATGATATTTACTAAATATCTTTCAATTGAAAAATAAAGAAAATAAATCCGCGCTTTGAAAGCGCGGGTCAAAATCTAGTAATCTATATTATAATAGTAGACTTTCTAGGCTCCACAACGCGCCACGTCAGCAATTTTGTGGGTCCCGTAGGTATTTTTTAAAAAGTTATAGTCTTAGTAAGATGATTACAAACAATGAATACACTTTAGTCAAGTGCTATAAGGTGTCTAATTAAGCATGCAAGATCGTAGGTTCAAACCACGCAGCCATCATTTATTTTTGATTTTTTTATTTGAGTTATTATCATATGGGCTTTTTGTTTGTAAGGTTTTATGTTTTTTTTATGGCTTATTGTTTTAAAGAATAGTTGGATAAACCTTAAAGTTTAACGAGTTCAAATCAAAAATAGTTAAAAATGAATGCAAAACCGAACAATAAAAAAAAAAGCAAGTCTCACGCGTGCCTACGCAGATGGCTTAAAGAGCCTTAAAACTATCCTATTATAATATAGTTCAACCCAAAAATAATAAAAAATGAATCCAAAAACTAACCGACCAAAAAAAAAAAGTGAATCCCACGCGGCTACCTACGTGGATGGCTTAATGAGAATTGAATAATATAAATTAAGAGCTCAAAAAGTGAAATCATTGCACATAGTTCCTAATATATATTTCCAAAAAATTTGTATGTGAGATAAAATAAAAAAACAACAAAAATTAATTATTTTCGTTATTTATTTAATGAATATGTAATTTCTCTTACATTTTAATAACTACTATAATTTCATTGAAAACATTCCTCACCACTGATTTCAGACTCCGGCGAATGGATTCCCACACTAGATGACGCCGTAAATAAAAATGCCACATCATTTATGAACAAAACTCAAACTTACAAAAAACCATATATAAAAATCTATCTAATGAAACTTAAACAACGAATGTTAACTTAATTAAGGTTATTTTCAAATTGATAAATTGTTTAATACAAATATAAATACTATAAATATAGAATTATATCAAGTTTTGACCTACGATATAAAAACTTTTTACAGCAAAAAAAACACCTATTTTTACACACTAAAAACTATATTATAGCCTAACTATTCCTATAAACCTTACTTCGCATATAAATAACATTTAAATCATTCCTAATAAATTTTCAAAAAAATTGTATGTGAAATAAAATAAAATAAACAACAAAATTAAGTATTTTTCGTTATTTATTAAATGAATATGTAATTTCTCTTACATTTTAATAACTACTATAATTTCATTGAAAACATTCCTCACCACCGACTCCAGACTTCGGCGAATGGATTCCCACAGTCGATGACGCCATAGATAAAAATGCCACATCATTTATGAACAAAACCAAACTTACAAAAAACCATATATAAAAACCTATCTAATGAAACTTAAACAACGAATATTAACTCAATTAAGGTTATTTTTAAATTGATAAATCGTTTAATACAAATATAAATTCTATAAATATAGAATTATATCAAGTTTGACATACGATATAAAAACTATTTACAGCAGAAAAAAAGTAGACACCTACTTTTACACACTAAAAACTATATTATAGCCTAACTGTTCCTATAAACCTTACTTCGCATATAAATAACATTTAACACATTAGATATACAATATTTTCACTTTACACTCTTACTACATTCTTTCAATTTCATTATTATTTGGTGTCATTAGAAGAATCCACTAAACCACTAAATCGAAAAAAATATACGCAAACATAATGATTCCGGCTCCGCGCTTGCGCAAGGAGTATGCAACTAGTGGATATAAATGATTGACACTAAATTAATATCATGCAAGATATGACTTGTCCCATCTTGTGTAAGCAAAATCGGGGACATCTTGCCGCCAAATGCAGTTTGTACAAACCGAAGATAGCATTTAAGAACTCAAACAAGCATATCGACAATGCCTTAAGAACATTTCTGCATCACTCATTCATCTTGGCTTTGTATAAAGCTCATGGTGATCACATATTATTTGTTCGGCAAAAAAATGATGATTTGGTGTATGTAGATAACCAGTGGCGGACCCAGATTGTAAACCTGGATCAGAAATTAAATGGGCTTTAAATTCGTAAAAAAAAAAGGGAAAAGTGGTGTCAAATGGGCGTTGAACCATGGTTTAGGGGTGTCAGCTGAAGTCAAAACACCACCATAGCTAACAAAATTAAGTTGTACTAGCTTAACAAAGCACATTTATAAAATTTAAGCGGTGTCAGCTGACCTCTTTTCTTTATACATGGATCCACCTCTGTAGATGACATCTTTATTAGTGATACAAGTGACAGTTGGAGCCAAAATTGCATAAGATTTGAAATCATTCTTCAAACTTCGAGTTCTTGTCTCCTTAAAGTTTGCCTTGGGATTGGAATCTCTAGATCATCTGATAGAACATCTCTTTGCCTAAGGAAGAGTACGCTAGAGATATCTGACATATGACTCCTAATTCAGTACATGTGACTCCTAATTTGAAACTTTCAAACGTAGATGGAGACTTGATTGAAGATCATGAGTTGTATAACCGGATTCTTGGTCATTTAATGGAACTGACAATTACAAGGTCATATATTACATTTAAACTCTGTCAATATTCATCAGCGCCATTTTGTCTCATCTCACAGCACTTTATACATCAAAGGTACTGTTTTAAAGGGTTATTCTATTCTGCATCCTATGATCTTACGCTCAAAAGTTTTGCTGATGAGAATTGGACTGCTTGTGTTGATAGTAGACTTCTACTACAGGTTTCAGTATGTTTGTTGGTGATTCTATAGTTTCGTGGAGCTATGAGAAACAACCCACAATTTCTAGATCAGCAGCTGAATATTGAGTTTTAGGTCTTGGTTCTTGTGCAATGATGTGATTTGTACTCTTCCCAAGTCATTATGGGTTGAACCATCTTCACCTCCTATCTTCTTTTCTGAAAACACAGTTGCATTTACGATGCTACTAATCCGGCTTTCCACAAGCGGACTAAACATATAGAGCTAGATTCTCATACTGTTCCAGCGAAGATTGATAATGGTTTACTCAAAACCTTACATATACAAACAAAGTACCAAATGGATGATAACTTACCAAACCATAGGTTAAATCAAAGATAAGCATTCATAATATCTTCAGCACTTCTTGAGGGTGGCTATTAGAGTTGACTATTGTAATAAATCAGTTAAAATATAATTTTTCTTTAACATAAATACAATTTCCTTTTGCCGGTTTAGCTTTACATAGAGTCAGTTATATTATAGTCATAATATATTAACATGTAGGTTACATTTACAATTAATGAGAAACGCATTTCTTTTCCTTCCTCTCTAACAAACTTTTTTCTTAATCTCTCTCAAGATAAATTTTGTTCTCTTCTGTTTCATGGTCCATACTCCATGATATATGTGAAGGAGGGGAAGAATTGTTGTGTTGGTTCCAGCGATTTAATAACACCCATCACAGAGGAGAAGCTGAATGAATACTATTGAATACAGCAACAAGAAGAAAAATAAAACATCGTTTTTAATCATTTTACATGTAAATTCGGTTATAAAGTGAAAGAACAGAAGTTAATAAAAAAAAAACAACAACTCGTTAAATCCTTAATAGGCAGTGAGCCATTGGAGAACTTAAGAACATGGACCAAGATAGACTATGATCACGTCAGCACACTGATCCCTATGGTTACATTTAGAGTATAAAAAAAACAAATGTATTTATACTTTGTCTAGAGTGTCTGGAAGAATCTGCTACTGACTCCAGCTCTGTAAAGCTTCATCACATCACTTTCTCCTGTTACTTGAATCTCATTATGAGCCGGAACAAACAAAACATCCCCTCGGTTAACCAACAATTGAGATGAACCGGTTTCCAATTTCCCTTTTCCTTCTATAACCAGATAAACCGAAGGTCCCTGGATAGCCGGAAAAATCGTCGATTTTCCTGTAGGAAGATCACAATGGTCCACTTCAAATTCATCAAATGGAGGAAGATATCTCGTAACGTATGGAGTCAGAGAAAATCCTTTCAAAATCTCCGGGTAGCCCTAAAATAACCAAACAAAAAATCGGTTTTGGTTAGGTCTAATTTCGGTTTACTAACTAAACCAAAACGTTAACGTGTAAAGAAAGTTACCAGTTTATAAGTAAGCATAGAGCATAGAGTCTGAACATCGCGGTGTTTAGGAGTGAGACCAGCTCTAACAACGTTGTCTGAAGCCGCCATGCACTCGACACAGTCGCCGTAAATATAAGCGTGTGGCTCGTCCGCATCCAAATACAAAGCCTCACCAGGATTAAGCTTGACGTAGTTGAAAAAGAAAGCTGAGATCACGCCTACGTCACCTGGATACTGTTTCTCTAGTTCCAAAACTAACGCCTCCTTCTCCGTTAGTTCACGGTGGTTTGTCTCCGTGATTAGACGCATCTTCATGTTAGATATGACTTGTTTGGTGTCATTGTTACTTGCAGACATTAACTGTGTGAAGATCAAACGGACAACGGATTTAATGTTCTCGTCACTGTCTTTTTCGTTGACGGTGAAGATTTGGTCTGCAGCTTTACGTCCAACGAGGTCTGTGATCTCTGGTACATTGGCGATCACTTCCTTCAGCTCCTGATACAGAGGAAGTTCAGTTTTTGTTTTAGCATATGTAATAAGCAAAAGAACCGTAATAAACCAAATAATAATAAAATTAATTCGGTTTAATTTAGTTGAACCGTTGTGAACCAAACTCCAAAAATAAACATATATTAATTGGAAGGGCCCATGTCCCCACAGAAATTGTTCATTCAATTTGGCATTAGTTCGATTTAGGTTTATGTTTTCAGTTATTTGGGTTTGAAATCGGTTTAGATAAGATCAGTTTATATTGATTGCACATCACTGATTGTTAAACAAAACAATCTAAGCAAGGCATTGGTATGACCAGTGTTCTAAAAATTGGTTTAGTAAACACTGATTTAAAAAAAAAAAAAACACGATCTAGAACATTCGAAAAATTGGTATAGACGCCCGCCTAACTAAAAATTTGGTTTAGACATTCCAAAATACCGTTACCGGTTTCTTGAACATTGGGTATGACACAACAACAATCAACCGATTCTAAAATCCAAGCTTAAACCGATTGTAATTCCACATGGGATGAGAAATAATTAATGTAATCTAAAACCAAAAGTCAACATAATTAAAATATTATCTATAAAACCCCTAGTTAAAGGTTTGCAGAACATGAGAAAGACATAATAATATGAATTGTGTACCTTAAGGGATACGAAACCACAAAGCGCTTGAAAAGGAGTAATTGCGAGAGCAATCTCAGGCTTATGGTTAGCATCTTTGTAAAGAAGAGGCTCTTCTCTATGCAATTTCTCTGCTAATGCCTTGTTTGGATGTGCTTGAATCGACAACGCTTTTGTCACTGACAAAACCTATTTTTAACAACGGCAAACACTTATCATTAGAATTCAAATCTCTATGTATTAACACATAGAAAAAATCTAATTTCTAAATAAAGAAAAACAAAGTTTTTGTTGTAAAAAAACAGAGTCAAAATGTAAACAGATCTAAGGATTTTGAAAACGGCAAGTTAACTATAAATATGCAAACAGAATCTGACAGCAAAAAAGTTTTAATTTTATTTTACACAGAATAAATCAATTTTTAGTAAGAAATACAGAGCAAACATTCCTGATTAGGATCTGACGATCAAACAAATAGTTTAATTCCTAAAATTACTTATTTATTTCTATAACAAAACAAGAAAGTTTGGCCATAAACAGAACTTGAAAATATGTTTTTTTCTTGGTAAGAATATGTCTTAATTAGATTAATCGGTAATATAAATATATATACCTTGAAGAGGAAAGGAAGATCACATCCCCATTTCTCCACGACTCTAGACCCGAGAACATCCGGATTATCCAAAACCCACGACTTCAACGTAACCATGCATTCGGACACATCACGTTCTTCTTCCTTTACAACGTGACTCGGTCCTGACTCGTGAGTACCCATCCACAACTCTGCGTGAGGAACCGCCGGGTCGACACGGTTCCCTGAATTGGCCTCGTGGAGTCTCGCAACCAATGAGTCATGTCCGAGTTTGCCCCACTCGTAGTTCTTCACGTCGCATCTCAACCGTTTGATCCCTTCTACGACGGTTAACTTGGCGGGATCTTGACCGTTCGTTTGGATTGCGTCTGCACCCATTTTTGGCCTTTTGTTTTTATTTTTGTGTTTCTCGCTGAATCAGAGAGAGGAGATATGATAATATGATGGGCGTTTCTTGTATTCTATGCTATATATATAATATAATTCCTTGGAAGAGGGTTAAAATTCGATCATATTATATGGAAAGAATAATATACATTCGTAAGCAATGGAGTAAATATGTGTAATTGTTTCTTTATTCTTGTGTAGTCATAAAGATATGCATTTACTGTAAATGTTTAGAAATGAGTCTCACGGGAATTATGGAAAGTACTTACGTGTGAACAAGAAGATAAGATCATGATTAACCCAGGTTTCTTAAGACGGGTTCTTATCGGAAGTTAAGAAATTATTTTTTAATTTTTAACTAAAAACGCTAAGAACCGGTTTTTAAAGTTCTTATTTAAGAACCGGTTCTTAGCGTTTTCAGTTAAAATTTAAGAAATAGTTTCTTAACTTCTATTAAGAATTCCGCCTTAATAATCCGGGATTAATCATACTCTAAAGCTTTTCTTTAAACATATCCATCACTAGATGTGGAGAAGCAATCTAAAGATATAGGTAAAAGACCATTTCTGGAAAATAAGTTAAGAATTCCTTTTTTATTTGTTTTATCCTAAATCCTAATGGAATTTGCGTGTTTTACTTTGAATTATAGAATCTGAGGAAATATAAGATAAGGATGATAAAAGAAAAGTTCTTTATCCGCACGAGTCAAATTCAAAGTATGTTGAAAATTCTTTTACTATATTTATTTTTAAGACTTGCCATAACCTCTTTGTTCTTATGATTTATTAACTAAAATCGAAGATATGGAATGAATCTGTTTTATTTTATTCTTATTTTGTTTGGAATGAACTTAATTGACTATGTGAAAGTAGCATATGTTTTATCTACATTGTTTGGCACATCAATGTTCAATAGAATTGATTAATACACGTCATTTTGTAGGTGGCTAAAAACTACCATACTACTAGATTGACTTTCGTATTAAAATTCAAATCAATTTATTTCAACCTTTGTTCACAAATTAAAAACTAATAAAGTTTTCGTCAGTTGAGCCTTTAAAAAAAAAGTTTTCGTCAGTTGTAGTTTAAATATTTTATACATAAAGTTCTCATTACTTCAAAAGACAAAAAAATGGGTAAGCTGGAAACTGAGAAAGGTAGAAGAAGTCAATGGCTTCCTTGTTGAAGTTCTCCATGAAAAGTATCAATGATCCAATTTACATGTGGCCTACTTCCTCTTCTGAAATGACATAATTTAAGTTTTTTTTTACTTTATTCACAAGCCAACATTATTACCTTTTAATATTTTGGTGTGACTTGGTTTGATATAGAAGAAACATTAATAGCAATGCAACTGTATGGTTCGTGCTTCCTCTCATCTCTTAGGTTTTTGATTGTGTGTTTTTAGAAATGATATTTCACGTTGGAAATAAATCAAAATTACCGTAAAGACATCTCCGTCCCAATTTCAATTTTTACTCTAAAATAGAGTAAAAAGGATTATGGAATAGAAAACACTCTAATCCAATTCTATTTTTCATTCCATAATAGAATTTACACCATAAACTGAATAATCTATTTTTTATTCATTATTCTATTATGAAGTAGGATATCGAGTAGAGATGGTCTATATTCATTTTTACTCTATTTTGGAGGAAGAAAAAATAGAATATTATATGTAAAATGTTCTAAGACATGCAAACACCAAAGATTAAGATCATCTCTATTGAAAAATTCTTAAAGCGATGTTCTTATCAGAATATATAAGAACCATGTCGTAAAAATAGAGGTGTTTTAAGAAGTTCTATATATATGTTCAATTGTACAACAAGGGAAAATGTTTTAAATATAGAGGCAAGTTTTTTTGGATGGTAACTACTAACTAGTCACTATAATACAATTTGCAACGCATTTTTTTGTTTTTTAAAGCTGTTTTGGACGGAATAAGAAGAAAACAACAAAAACAAAGAGAATGATAAGGAGGGTGGAGTGGAATCACAAAAAGATTGAAGGGTTACTGTTGAAAGACGTCTTCAAAACCAATGGACGAAACATAGGCAATGACGTGGAGTTCGTTAGGCTCCAAGTATGAGCTCTCATCTTTTAAATGTGACTTTTTCTTCTACACGGTATTCGGTTTGGTATTTGTCAACTAGTTGAATCCGGTTCCTGTGGTATTCGACCCAAAAATGATATAGAATAGGCATCTAGAATTATACTAGCTTTCTTTCTTTCATTTTTTATATAGAACAAATTCTATAGATATGATGATAATTCGATGATAAATTTGTAATTTTTCAAATTCAAAACGTAATAAAATTCATCTTTGTATTCTATAATTGGTATTTTTTTCTTCTCGAAACAAAATCTCAATACCTCAGAGTCAGACTGATCTATGAAAGAAACAATTTTTTTGTCATCTGAATTTTATTAATAAACTTAAAACAGAAATGCATAAGATCTGAACTAAAGCCGACGATTGCACAAATGCAACTCCAAAAACATAGGCTGGCGGTTAAACTGGTAACCCCAGAGACACATGCCGGAACCAAAACGATAAAACAAAACAAAAACTAAATAGACAGTTAAGCCCTTTTTCAAAAAAAAAAAAAAACTAAATAGACAGCTAACTTGTTTAAAAACTAACAATCGATTTTGTTTCTAACGAGAAACTATCGTCACTATCGTCCTCGCATGATAGAAACAATCTGTGTTATATACTTTGAACATGGTATAATACATTTTTGACTTTAAATAACCACAAGCATGATATGAAACATTCTAAGCATCATCTTTTATGGTCAATTTTTGCTATTTATTAGATTTTGAGGGAAATTTCTGAAGTCTTAACATGTTAATGTTTTTTTTTTGAAACACAACATATGACTTAACGTGAACTAGCTTTCTAAGTTGATTCGAGACTTGGCGTCCCTTTTATGAACGTCAACCATATGTTATATCCAATTATCTTGATAGTCAACTGATTAAGGATATGTTAAAGCAAGCTAACTCGATTTTGAAACATCTTTGAAGATAGTTTTGCGAGGGGGAACTCTGATAACAACTTAACCGATCAAATTTGGTCAAATAGATCCGGATTTAACTTTTTTTGGTTAGGTCTGTGTAGGCCTGGGCGTTCGGTATACCGATCGGTTTCGGTTCGGGGGATTCGGTTTATCGGATTTTCGGACTTAGCTGTAGAAGTACCATTCGGTTTTTATAAAACTTCGGTATGGTTGCGGTTCGGAACCAGCCGGTTTCGGATCGGTACGGTTGAAGCTAGCAAAAACCGCCAATATCCGATGTACCTATGGATTCGGTTCGGTATAGGATTTTTACAACCAAATACAACTAAATCATAACCGAAGAAACCGAAAGATACCAAAGAAAACTGAACATAAACCAAACATCCGAAAATATGATTAAAACCGAACATGAGTTTACACACAAACAAAACAAAAGAAACACAAGTTTTAGACACATTACAAAACATGATAAATTGTGTCTAAACTTAAAAAACCAAATATCCCTGAAACATTCAAGCCGAAACAAAGTATTCAAATAGCAAAGTAATCAAAATAAAATTCAAGCCGAGAGTCATGGTCTTCTTGTCAAAGCCATAATCTTCTTAAGCAACAAGAAACATCTTAGTCTTCTTGTGGAACTACTCTATCTCCATACTCTGAAAACACAAAGAGTAATCTTGTAAAAAATACTAAAAACTTAAGTAATTAACATTCATATCATAGAATAGAAGATTGAACTTACTTCTTTCAAGCCTGTCCACTTCTTCAAGATCTTCAATTATCTGAGAATTTGAAAGCATCCTTGGCTCCATCTTTATGTCTTGCTTGATCCACTGCTCTGTGCACATTAATACCTCAACCATGTAATGGGTTAAACAACTTCTATGTGGTTCTAGAAGCCGACCAGATGTACTAAAAGCACTTTCCGAAGCAACAGATGAGACTTGTAAAGCCAAAACGTCTCTAGCAATCTCAGACAAGATAGGAAACTTAACTGAATTCTTTCTCCAGTATGAGAGTATATCATACTCTGTTCCAAGCATCAGTTCAGGGGTTTCCACAGATTCCTTAAGATATGATTCCAGCTCATCCTTCTTTTCTCTAACCCCAATCTCGTTTAGCTTCTGCTTATACCTAACGTCCATCCTTTTGTAACCCACACAGTCATCCACAAGCTCCATCCTCTCGCTGCATTGGTCTTTAGACTGAGATGAGTTGTTAGACTGAGATGATTGGTCCATTGGATCAACCCCGGCTCCACGTCTAGAACTATACTCTTTGAACAAACTCCTCAAGACACACATCAAAGACTCAAGCATCTCAGCATACTCAGTAGTTTCAAACCCATATAGCTCTTCAAAACACATCTTCGCAAGCTCCAATTTGTTGCTGGGATCAAACACAGTGGCTACAATTAACATCATGTTAATATTCTTCATGCCGTCCCAGTATTTCTCAAATTTCTTGAGCATCTCTGTCGCCTTATTCCTCATGTCAGGATCAGAGCTGGTGGAGAGCACAACCAGGTTAGTCGCAATGGTTACTATCTCACTGTAGCACTTATGTGAGTTGAGGGAAGTTGATGCTGAAACCACCATTGTCGAGTTGTAGAAGATGATAAGAAAACGACATAACTTGTCAATAGCATTCCAATCTCTTAGTTGAGGAGGTCCTATCCTCTTTTCTCCATTTTCAAACTCAGAGAAATGATCGTTGTAGAGCTTGTCTTCTGCTTCCATCTTATCAAAAGCCACCTTGAACTTCTGAGCTGTTGTCAACATGAGATAGGTTGAGTTCCACCTTGTCTTGACATCCAATGGCAGACTTCCTCTACTAATCTTACCGGAATCAACTTTAAGCTCAAAAGAACTCAACCTGTTAGTATGTGATCGAACATACGAGATAGCATTGCGGATAGCAGCCACATTCTTATCTAATTCAGCCATTCCATCCCTAACTATCAAGTTAATGATATGAGCACTACACCTCATATGTAAAAACTCCCCATCTAAA